CCCTGCACAGTAGCAGGAATAGGAAGTAATGTTCCATTCAACTCTTTCAGCTGTGACTACTATTAATTATATTCAAGGTTTCCCTTAGGAAGACACTCTTACAGGAAATGTGCTCTTAGTCTCACCTATATGTGCAGAGTGGTTATGCTTCTGGGAGGCAAATCACTCCAGGCTAAGGGGAAAGACAAAAATGTTTTCCTGTGAATTCTCATGAGGGACCTGGTTTCAGATCTCAGCTGTCAGGTCCTGAACACATGAACACTGGCTAGGTTAAACACTGGATTCAGACTGAAGGATTTGTTTAAGATTAATATTGTCCAAACGAGGCAATGGAGTTTACTGATTCTTCCATTAACAGGGAAATATGCCTACCAGCATTCCACCAAGTACTGCCCATGTAGCTTCACTTGTTGCATATACCTCACTTTTTTATCTTTCGACCTTGTAGCTTTTATAATTCTCGCAGCATTATGAGTGGAAGAGAAAAATTACTCGCAACCAGCCCCGAGCATCAGAGCGAGGACGAGCAGAGGCGCCTGGAGAGTGCCGAGGGAGGCAGGCGCGGGTTGTTTGGATACCGAGCATCCCCTACTGACCGGCTCTCGCAGTGCAGCCTCCTGCTTTTCGGAGTCTGCACGAAGAGCACAAGCAAGTCCGGATTCGCAGAATATAAGCAACGGATTAGTACAAAGAAAGTAGTCCTAGACTTACGAAAGCACTAACAAGCTAAAAAATAAGTCATCACTTCAAGACAGCAAGAACTCTTTTTTAATCCAAAGCACTTCTTTTGGCTAACCAAAGGAGGAACTGAAGACACTTCCACAGATATAGCATCTTTTTATTTAAAATTCGCTAATGACTTATAAATCAAATAAGGGATTGTTAGTATTATTTCCCCACTAGATGCAACAGCACGTTAAAAAAGTTTACATTTCATAGAGAAACATCAATGTATTCTTTTTGGTCATCTGTTGAACTGCTTGCTGCTTTTGAATCACGGTGATTGGGAAGTTTTGATCCAAGAAAATTCTATGAACTATAGAGTTTGCTGGTAAACAAACAGAAAAAACCAACCTGGTTCGACAATATGTGGGATTCTTTTTTTTTTTTTTTTTTTTTTTTTATCCCTGCAACAGTAACTTTTTTTCTAAATACTTTCACCAGCTTCAGGAAAGGGTGGGTTAGAGTCAGGGGTTTCCTGAGGCTTTTCAGAACATGGTTTTAACGTAGCCGTGTGTTCAGAAGAGCCCCTAGAGAGTCTTGTTTTGGAACACTCTGACGCCTACACGTTATTATCTTTGCTACGTTTTGCAGTTTTGTGTGAAATTTATTTTTAATCTTTAACAAAACATGTCCCTGTTTATCTTAAATTCAGAAAAGGTTTAATAATGTAAAACAAAATAACTTTTAAAATAATTAAATTTACAATGAATGCCAAAACATAAAAGTATAAAGCAAGTTAACAAGAAAGGACTTCTTAAAGATCAAAGGAAATGTGTTTATTTGATTTGATTAAAAACAAATAAAAAGTACTTTCACTTTAACAAGTTATAACTGGCTGTTGACAGAAACCAGTGAAAGAGTTTCCCAGTCCCACAGGATAAAGGTTTTTTTCTGATAGAGGTTCACGTACTCAGAACAGATTGCCCACTGATATGTTAAAGGAATAAGATTTTGAAAAGTGACAAAGCTACATCAATATTAAAAAACGTGGATACAAAGGCAAGTTTCCTTGGAGAACATACTCCTTTTGCTACTATTAAATAAGACTGGTGGTGTAAATCAATAGGTATTTCTATCTTTCATCCCTCTATACGCAAGAGAGCTCTGGAGATGGTAGAGGTAAAAAGTACCACTTAATTTAGTAGAAAGACAGGATATATGAACTCAAAACCTGTTTTAACATAGCAGTAGAGTTCCCAGAAGTGGTCTGGCTTCTGTAGATTTCCTCTTCCACAGGCAGAAGAGGCAGCCTTTGCCCCACTTGCCTCTATCGAGACAAGTTTTGAATCCACTGGATAAGTCTCTTCCAGAGGCTTCAATAGTAAATGTACAGGCCTCTCATGAAATAATGCCATGCTGAGATCCAGACAAGAGACAACTAAGTAACTGAAACAGGAATATGCTTTAAGTCAGGTTGCCTAAAACTCTGTTTAATGAGGTCTTTTGTTTCTTAATACCAATTTAACTACTAAAAAAGCACTCGAAAGGGTATGTTTTTTTAAAAAAGAGTAAACAATTTCCTAATTTCTAAAAGATAAAAGAATCCATAGTCTAAGGATCGTTTCAAGCCTCAGTGAAGTCCCCCAAATAAACCAAAACAACCAGATCTGACATTCCAAAAATGCTGTGGTAAAAAGCATCCAGAAAATATTTGAAACAGTCATGCATTTCAGACCTTCTCTGCATAAAATGATGAAAAGAAATTCTTAAAAACATAATAATTTGGAGGTTATCTTTAAAGGCAACACATTAAATTCTTCATCCGAAATGTACAGAAGTAGGCATTTTTAGAGGAGCTAAGTAGTTATTTTCACACTAAAATTAGAGTGCCCACATACCCTTTTAAGAATGTTCACAGAAAAGAACAGCTTCTTTACCAATCGAAGTCACTATATTTCACTTTCTACCCTGTTACCATCGGCCTGGAAGATGCCTTCAGGCAGACTCTCCAGACCTGCAGCCAGCAACACTCCCCGCGGGGTGCTGTGTGCCGGGCCTGCTGTGCCTGGCACAGTGCCTTGCGGGCTCCTGTCTGCACTCTGATCAGCCCAGTGCTGGTGGCAGCCTTGAAATCACCTTGCACCACCGAGGGCAGCCATGCCCTCTGCTTCGGAGCAGTCGATGAGCTCATCGCTCACCAGGGGCTCTCATTTCTGATCAAAGGTTTGGTCAGCCCAACAATTGCTTGTATAATTCATATTAACTTGCAGTGGGGCAAGTTAAGAGAGGAATCCAGTCACTCACTGCTGAGATGCTCACTGTAAGGTCATTAAAACAAAGTTGCTTGTGAAAGAAATCAAGCTTTGCTCCAATTCGAAATACTTGGTAATCTGATGAGAAAAATATGTGTGTGATTTGTGTTTATGTCTGGAAGTTTTCCCTAGTGTGAAAGCCTTTAAAGGAAAACCAGTTCTTTCTTGCAATGTATGTTCTTTTATGTTATGTAGCCTAGACTGTGGATTGCAGTGATGTCAAAAATGTACATGGAGTGATTGCATCCTGTCTGTGTCCTGTAAGAATGACTTTGAAAGTTAGATGTTTCATCTCTACAGTCATATCCTGATCAACAAAGTCAGTCAATAAATAAATACATTTAGTGACAAACCTAGCTTTTTCTGTAAGCTGCAGTTAAACAGGAACTTGATTTGTTTTTTGTATTCACATCTATTCTATAATAATGAATCCAGCACCACAATAACCAAATACCCATTATAATTATAAGATCAGAGAAACCTTTGTGGTACTCATTTTCCTAAAAATGATTTAAAAAGACCCAGTCCTCCATTCTCATTCTTTTGAAGTCTTTGCTTTAAACCTAAGACTTAAATACAAAGGGCCAGAATTGTGATTGAGAACACAGGATCTTTTTAAGAGGTGGATGGATTCTGCACAAGAAAGAGGAAAACAAAATATAAAGTGTATAAATTTTTCAGCCATTTTTTCCCCAAATCTGAGTGCCATATATAAAATTCATATTTAAATATTGTGTTTCTATGCCAGATGTGGTGTTTAAATGCCTCATACAAAATTTGTAGCACCACGGTAATTTGGGGCAAAATCTTAAAGGGTTGAATGAACTACAGGTCTCAGAAGAAATACGTAAAATAGACATCCCAGACATACAACTAGAGCTATGCATTGAAATATGTCAAAAACTCTCTCTTTATTCAGAAAATCTTTCAAAGTTCTTTAAATGCAAGCTAATGCTAATTCTGTTACTCTACAGTTACCTTGGCTGTTAATACCTGTCTACTAATACAGCAGCTTTTATCTATCATTCTCAACACTCATTTCCAGAGATGAACCCACTTCAGGTCCATCCTTGTTGGTCACTGACAGAAGACCAGGGTCCCAAGGGCAGCCTCAGGTCTCTGCCAGAGCAGTGCACCCTGACACCTCGTGTTCACACAGCGCTGCCCGGGTAGGCTCCATAGCCAGTCCAGCGCCTGAGGCTGTGTTTACCTCTGGAAGCATCACGGCCTGGTTTTACTGACTCAGGCTGTCAGCACTGTGATGCTGTTGGTGTCGTCTAAGCAGCTTTTGCTGCCTCTGACTGTGGTCCAGCGGGAGGGGATGGGTTTGACCAAGAAAAGGTCTCCACACCAGACACAACAACATAGCCACCGTGGTCTGCCATGGGAAGGTGTCAGTCAGCTCCAGCTCCTGCCTGGGGCCAGGGTGGTACCGAGACAGTTGAGTTCTGCCGGCATGTGGGAACAGCCTGGAGTCTTATCCTGGAGAAGAGGAAACTCAGGGGTGACCTTATCACTCTCTACAACTAACTGAGAGTGTCGTGAGGCACAGGTTGGTCTCTTCTCCCAGGCAACTAGGACCAGAGGAAATGGCCTCAAGCGGGGGGGGGGGCTTGTGTTCAGGTTGGACATTAGGAGGAATCTTTTCACAGTTAAACATCGGAATGGTCTGCCCAGGGAGGTGGTGGAGTCACCACCCTTGGAGGTGTTAAAGGAAAGACGGGACGTGGCACTGGGTGCCATGGTGTAGTTGACAGGGGGTTGCAGTCGATGGTGTTCGATAGGACGACCTCGGAGGTCTCTTCCAACCTAAACTGACTCTGTGATTCGGTGAACAGTGCCCCAGGAGCAGTAACGCCATGGCCAGGGGGTCACCGGGCTGGGGACGCGCCCCACTGAAAGCCGGGCCGGGCAGGGCAGGGCCGGGCAGGGCCGGGCAGGGCTGAGGGGCAGCCGCCCCCAGCCCCGCCCCTCGGCCCCGCTCGGCCCCGCCCACCCCGCGCCGTGACGCCGCGCGCCGGGGGCGGGGCGGAAGTGGCGGGCGGCGGTGGCGGAAGTGTCTGCGCGCTGGGGGCTCAAGATGGTGAGTGCGGGCAGCGGGCTCGGGGCCGGCCGGCCGGGCGGGGGGGGCTGCGCTGGAGCGGAGCGGGCCGGATCGCACCGGACCGCCTTGCCCTTCATTGCCCAGCCTTGCCCCGCCTTGCCCCCTCCTCTTTCCTCTCCCCTCTTGGTGCCCTCGGTGGCAGCGGGGCCGTGCTGAGTCACGGGGATCCGGCGCGGCCATGGCGGGTTCCTTCAGGGGCGCGTGGCGGCTGTGGATAAAGCCCTTCTTCTGGGAGCGGGGCGGGGCGGGGAGCCCCGGTGGTCCCCGGCCTCCCGCAGCCTAGGGGAGGAGGTCACAGCTCGGCCCCCCGCAGTGGGCAGCGGTGGTGGAACCACCTAAGATGGGCTGGGCACTGGTGGGACTCTACGGAGTGTTGCTTTTGAGGAGTAATTAGTGATTTTTCTCCTTGCGTTTGACTTCAAGTTCGCTTTTTCCTCTTGTGACGTCCCCTAGGTGCTGTATCTCTTTAACGCTTTCACTTACAGCGGTCTCAGAAAGGTCTGGTCAGTGTTGAGTGTGCCAGTTGTAGATGCTTTCTATACACTTAAAACAGGTGTTTTAGGGCTGTCTTATACCTCTGATGCCAATGAAAGCCAATGCTTTAGTACAGAAGACCTTAACTGTAAGCATGATTTTTCTGTTGGATCTGACAGTGCTGCTGGAGTAAACTCCTGCACTGAACAGCTCATTACTGTCACCTTCCAGGATTTATTCTGCTTTGACCCATTGGTGGAGCAATTTGTGTGAACAATCCTATAATCACTTCAGTAAAATCGTGTAGGTTAGCTTCAAATTAGTGGTCTGGGTTAAGGTGGCTTTACTTATCTGCTACAAATTGCGATTTTTCCTTTGTTCTTTGTGCTAACTGGCATACTGGACTGCTTAAGTACACCTTATCCTCTATGACAGCCTCAAACCATGGCTAAAATCAGTTTGATCTTGCTTGCCTACATCAGTATTGCAGTACATGAAGGAATGCTCAGACGTGTTCCTTTCTGACCTGTCAGCTTTCAGGACCTGCCGTCTTCCTTTCCATCCCTGCAGCCCGGGGTGGGAACGAACAAGGGGTAATTGCAGTTTCAGCTCTTTCAAACAGATCCAAAAAATGTGTTATTGAGATCTTTAACTCCTACCAGACTCTGAAAGAATTCTAATTTAATGTAGGGTTTGTGTTTTGGCATTTGTGGGGTTTTTTTGTTTTGTTTTGGTTTTTTGGTTTGTTTGTTTTGTGGTTTTTTTTTTTGTTTGTTTTTTTTAATTATTATTATTATTTTCAAGAGACTCAAAAGTCTAAGGCTTCCAGGAACACTTTAAGAAGTGTTTGAGCACTTTATTTCGTTTGCCTGGCCTAATGGCCCATACAAAAGGCGTCTGGTTCTGTTAAAGTAATCCTCACTTTTTTTGTTATTCCAGAATTCCAGAGGCACTGCTTCTCTGTTGAAGGATAGTATCCCACTTACTGAGTTTTCAGCTTCAGGGCCATTTGAAGGTCCTGATCTTCTGCGCAGAGGGTACGCTCTACTTTTACTTGTTGAATTGCGTCACTGACAATGGTGAACTTCAGATATAGGATGAAAGTATGTGTTAATGTTGGCTTTTAAAAGAACTTTCTTGGAAGGGGTGTTGCAAAAGCAGTAGCCTAAAGTGCACATATTTCAAGAAGTAGGTAACATTAACAAACTTTTACCTTTGTGATGCTGTTCTTTACAAAAGAGACAAAGTATTAATAATTGTGAAATATGTGCTAGTTTTAGTATACATGTATGTACGTCTGCCTTAGCACCGTGGGAAATGGTTTAATTTCAGCATTGGTATGAAAAGTAGAAATAATAAAGTCAGAGGAGTGGATTTGGGGTTTGCCATTTTACGTAAGTGCAAAACTATTTAGATTAGTTATTTGTGTCTTGGATAGTGAATCTGAAATAAGCTCATGGAGTTTTAAATGCCAGTAATACAGCTGAGTGGTTGGGGAGATATGTACAATATTTCATTGCAAAAGCTTGGAGACTTTAAAATAAGATACAGTGTAGCTTGGGCAAAATTAGATCCATTATGTTTTAATTTTTTAATATTTTTTCTATTTCTGAATGGAACCAAGGAAGAAACACTGTCATTCTGTTTTGTCAAGAATAAAGGAAAAAGAGTGTTTGAAATCGGAATTCTTTTTCTTCAGATAGTGCTCTAGTTACAGCTCTTATTTGTTACTTCACTATTTATTAAACTTTTTTTTCTTAATTCTAGTTCAGACTGTTGCTAATTGCTAATTGTGTGTCTCTGTGGGATTTGTAATCTGAGATTGGTTTGGGAATGCAATTTAAAAAACATCCCAATTAATTTGAAGTTAATATTTTTACTGGTTTTTTTGTTGTGTTTTTTGGTTTTTTTTTTTTAGTTTTACAAGTGTGAAAAGTGAATTGTTGCCCAGTCACCCACTGGAGCTGACAGAAAAGAATGTAAGTATAACATCAAATGTAGCCATCTTCACTGTTGGCTAATGGTGAAGTTTAAATTTAAAATGCGGTAACCTGGACTGCTTGTGCAGTAACAAGTAATGAGTAGGGTCTTGTCTTTTAATAGAATAAAGATATTCAAAATAGTAACATATTTTTTTATACAAATAATGTTTTTGGTAAATTTATTTAATGTTAACCTCATACTTATGGCTCTCTCCAAGTATATAAACAGGCTTCCAAGTAGGGATCTGTGTACTGAGGTTTAGTCATCTAAAAGTTATCGAGCTAGTTGAGTATGCAGTCTCTATAGGTAGGTGAGAGACCCACCTGGCACCTCTGGAAGGCTGATCTTCCCATTTTGTCTGTAGGTTTACCATGTATCTTTATTTTCAGACTTTGTCTCTGAACACGTATGTATTTTTTGCTAAATTAGTTGGTCCCATCTAGACATTTTACACATACAGTCTGTCGTGAGAGTGTGTGGTCTTGTCTGGCTTAGTCATCACTTGTGGACCATTAGGAGTGGTCTGTGGAAGGTAAAGCAGGATGACTTGGTGACCTTGACAGCTGATTGAGCCGAATGTCCTCTCTAGTGCCTCTTTTGTCAGCAGAGAAGATATGATGTGTCTGATATATCAAAATATCCTGAAGCAAAGATGTTATTTGGATCTAGTGTTCCAAATTGCTAAGTTAAGCAGCATGACAAGGTCTGACTGTAATGTCTAATATATTCTAATTTTAACCAGTGTTAGTGTTGCCTTGTGTTACAAGGATGATATTGTGATTCCATCTTTATGAGCTTATTTATAAATACTATAAAGGTTTCAGAGCTATTTGTCAGTTGCTTTTTTTTAAAACTTCTCTAACCTAGTTTTTGACTCTGTTCTTGCTGTATAAAACCTGCATAATTAAAAGATCACCTGCTAGAGAGACAAAAATGCATAGAAACAATTAAAACAGGCAATTGTGATCCCCTAAGAAGTATTCAAATCTTCTAAATTGTTTCTCCCACATTTTGTTTGGTTAGTTTCTCTTATGCTTATGGCCAATTTATCTAAGAATTATTTTCATGAATGGGAAAAGACTTACGTTAGGCTGAGATAGCTGTGATTTTTATTGCCATAAATGTTACAAAGGTCATTCAGGTAGCACTAATAGAAACATATAGGTTCTGCTATTCAGAGATCCCTACCTTTAGAAAATAAAAGAAATGGAAAAATAATGTGACCAGAATTAGAAGTTTGGGTTGAGAAATATAATCAGTATTTTCTGCTGACTTTTGAAAAGCATTCATATATACTGTTATGATGAAAATGCTTGTTGCACCCTTGGCTTGCATTTTCCTGTTGGTTTTTGAGATATCTTCTCATATATGGGTTGATGTTCTCCAGTAGTAGGCTTTTGTCGTGGTGATTGAGTACAGATTTCAGGATAAGAGATTTGTATTTTATGGGTTATTCAAGCTCGAGCTTACCATTAAGTATAACTTACTTTTGTGAACTTCAGTATTGGTGAGCCAGCACTTTTTCTTTAAAAGACCCTGTACTAAATAGATTTTCTTTGTCTTACTGATCAGTCTTAGAGCAGTTGGTAAAATTATGAGCTTACATTTGCTTTTCAGAGTCATACAGAGTACAAGTGGTGCTCTGTCTTCCTACTTGATCAGAAAAAAAGTATATCAAGTATTTTCAAGTAGTCTTTGATGGCTGACAATGACATCAATTGTGGCTTTTAAGTTTGTGATCTTTAAACCAGACTTAGCTTCCTATTCATGCGGACAATGTGGTAGTAAAGTAGCGCAGAACTATACCACTTGGTGGTGTTACGTGTCCTGATTATCAAAAATAATATAATAAGATTGGTACCGTTAATTTGGGATAAAATCCAGCAAAAAGCAATTTTAGTTTTGTAAAACAAATCTTACTGCATCACTGTCTTTCCCATACATTTGAAACACATTATGATTTCATTGAATTTTTACATACAAATTTAGTAAGCAGATTCATTTAAGTAGGATGTCACAAATCTCTTCTATGGCTGAACATGAAAGTAACTTTTTCTAAAATAAAAATCAATGTTGTTTGTGACAGTTCCAGTTAAATCAAGATAAAACAAACTTTACCACGCTGAGAAATATTCAAGGAATCCATGCACCTTTAAAGCTGCAGATGGAATTCAGAGCAGTGAAACAGGTAAGCATTTTTATCCAACAGGTATAACTTAAACCACTTGAAAAATGTTTATTTTGGAACATGCTTTCATAGAGACATCTTTCTTTGAGATACCCTGTGTTTCCAAAAGAAATTAATTCACTGGACTGCTTTTATTAAAACCAGCTAACCAAACACTGCAATTAATAGTTTTCAGAAGAGTCAATATGCTAAAAGCGTTTCAGCTGCTCTTCTTTTATTGGTTATTTGGTAACGTGGTAACTTCCCGAGCTTTTCAGTGGACTAGCTTCCTGTCAGCCTTCAGAGGAAAACAGGAGGAACTGAGTAATAATTTCTAAAATTAATACTCTCTTCTGTGGAAATGTGTGGCCTTCATGGGAACGAATCTCTGCACCTGTAAGGAAAAGAGACTTGGAGGTCTGAAGTAGACAGTGATTTGGGAGGGTATATAGAGGTAATGTGAAACCTGAAACAGAGAATTTGCTATGTGCTTATTGTTCTGCAGCCTTTGTTGTAAGATCAAGGGAGGTCTACAGGGAATTAAGTTGAAAGGTTTTAACTCTGAATTGAGAAGCTGAGTCTGTCTCCTTTTCCTTCTTTTCTCCTAGGATGGAAAGTAGCTGGAGAGAGGCTGACTTTGTACCTTAGGAAACACAGAAAGTTCATTGGTCCTAGTAAAATTTTTTTCACTTGTTGAAGGTTGTCAAGCTATTAAGAGTTGGTTTTCCAAGTGAGTTAGAGCAATTTTGTACTCCCAGTGCTCAGGTGCTACTGAACCACAGTGAACTGCATTTAAACTTGACAAAAGTTAGTGGTCCCAAAGATCTGAAAGTCAGACGGCATGTATGAAAACATCTCTTGATCTCAGCTGTGCTGTCTTGTAAGGAAAAGTCTTTTCCCTAACTTAGATTAGCATGTTGTAGAAAAGGAGGGAGGTGAGGATATCCTGCTAGTGTGTCTCCACAGATATTTTGGGGGGATGGGAATTATGATGATTAGAAGGCTTTCCACTTCTAGATTCATGTTGGGTATATGAGTACTCTTGTGGTTTACTTTCACTTTAAGATATTTACTGGAATAGTGAATTTCTGACAGTTTTACTAGTTGTGATTATGGAAATCTTGGACTTATTTTGTGGGTAGAGATACGATAATTTTATGGTTGAAAAATATGTCCATGGTATAACTGAAGTATCTCTATTAGCACTGAATGCAACTCTTAAGTACAGATACGCCCTTCCTGGAATATTTAGGTTCTAAATGCTGTATGTGCCACTTGAAATTTTTTTGGTAATTCTGTGCATGAAGGGTACAGAAGACTGTTGAAAGTAACTGGGAGTGGACTTGAAGCTTAAGAATTGGTAGGGATCAGAGAAATAATTATGATTTAGATTAATTGCAAAGAGGATTATGTTTGAATGTGAAAATCAATATAGCTCTTTCACTTGCATTCCTGACTTGTGTCAGAAATGTAGTTTCTAAACTCTGGAGCTGTAAAACTCCAGCCCCAGCAGCTGCTGGCTCACAGGATTGGCTATGAGTTTTACTTTAATATATAGATACAGAGTTCTTTAATATCTTGAGATAGCACCAAGAGAATAAGCCACGGACTTGTTTCTAAGAAATTTCTTTATTAATTTAGGGGAGTAAATAAGGGGACTTGGACAAAGGTCAAAAGCACAAGCTTTTGACAAAGGTCACCACACAAGCTAGACAAAATGTTTCACCACAATACTGACTCAGCATATACTGTTAATCCACAACACTTAAATCAAAATGCAGTAACCAGTTCCACAACACTTAAATCAAGATCCAATCCCTCTATCCTCCTAAGCATCAAGAAAGGAGCAATGAAAGAGAAGCAGAGGGATCAAGAAGAAAGAACGAGGGAGAGACAGATTATATAGCTACCTCCAAAGCCTTGCAGAAGACCAGTTCTCGCATGTCCAATGGCAGGGCCACGACATGAGGCAAGCACATGCCCTTGGTTTTATCTGCTCTGGTCCCTGTGTCCATTCCCTCCAGGTGGGGTCTCTTACCCACCAGCCACTCTGGGAGTTCCAGGTCAGGCTGAGAGACAGTGTCCCTACCAGTCTGAGCCTGGCTTAGGGGCTCCAGAATGTGTGGTGTTACAGTTTGCCTGGGCTGTTTGTGACTCGCAGCTACTCCAGGGCTTATCCATGTGGTTACAGGGGCTGCCGTGAGGGATATGACGTGATGCCACCCCACCTCCCGTGAGGTTTGACCCATCACTTGCCCCTACACACACACGCACACACTCTCTCTCTCTCTCTCTCCACAAGTTGGTTCTGACCCAGTAACTGATCTGGTGTCTATCAGCATCAATTGCCCAATACTGACTGCAGGGTGTGGATGTGTTTGTTGCAGTGAGCCTCCCCAGCTTAATTTAATCTTTACAGAAGAGAAAGAAAGCACGTCTTTTTTTTTAAAAGCACAGTATTTGCTGTAGTAGCTTTTTTTTCACTGCAGTGAAAGCTAAAAATCTATTGAAAGGCTGCTCTTTTCCAACAGAAAGATGAACAGTAGAAGATGGTGGTGTTAGGTGGTGCTAGGTTTTGCTGCCTATGTGTGCCAGTAGTTCTATTATTTCAGCATTGTTTTTAAAGAAAGTGACAGCCTGTTGATTTTCCTCAGTCACTTCAGACTGAGAAATCCAAATATGAACCCTTTCAATTTCAGACTTGCAGAAACTTGAACTTTTGCTTGAACTCTTCTTACAGGTCCAGCGTCTCCCATTTCTTCACAGTTCAAATGTGGCATTGGATACTCTGAGGGGAAATGATGAATGCATTGGTTTTGAGGACATCCTTAATGGTAAATACATTCTGGTTTTAGTGTTATGGAAACATTTAAAAGCGAAGTATGAGACCTGTAAAGTTCTTTGCCTCCAAGAGAACTAAACTTACAAAATTCAAAACCAGAATTAATTCCTAAAAGCAAAGAAGCACTGGGGAAGGAGAAATAAATGTGCTTCAGCTGTTAATTGTGTTACTTTGAAATACTGTGTAAGCCAGTATTTGCTTGTAGGCTGGGTTTCTAAAGGAGTAGAAGATCATGCACTTATGTTGTATGCCTGTTTCCTCAGAAACTTTTAACTACTTGTGCAGATTTTGAGGAGCAGAGGTTACAAATATACAGAGTTTTTGTAAGTTTTGTAATTAAAAAGAAAGGCAGGCTAGAGAGGAGATACGTAACGAATAAACCAGAGACTTCCTCAAATTAACACAATAGGTTGCAGTTGTGTGGTGGTCTGCTGACTGTCAGTATGTGTGGAATAGAATAAACCTGGAAAAATGGGTTTTAAAGAAATTCTTTTCTTTCTAGTTGGTAGTTAAGGACACAGAAGAAGGGAGAGAGTATTTTGACATGCGATTGGAGAATGAAAGTAGTTGGGGACATATGAAACTGGAAATAATAAAGGAATAGGAATCTAGAGGCATGAGGTAAAATTCTGAGGTGGATTACAAGGATCAAGGGAAGGAATAAGGCTACTGTGGTTCAGCAGGGGCAGAGCAATGTTGAACATAATTTATAGGAAGTTGGTTATTTACCATTGCTCACAACAAGCTGTTAGATGCTTACAGAGTGCTGATGAGTAAGTGGGTTACAAGTGTTTTTGTTAAGGCTCTACTTACCAGCTAAGACTGGATTAGGTATTTTTATTGTCTCAGGAGGAATCAGAGGCATTAATATGTCTTATTTAGACATAATATTTAGACAAAATTACTTAAAAGGAAAACACTCGGATACACCTACAAAGAAAGTGGTATTTCTTCTGAAGTGCAGTCATAACCTACCTTCTGGTCTTGATTTTTATTTTTAATTTTTTATATGGAAATGAAGTCCATACTATCAGTATTGGTCTCTTTTGTGTTCTCTGTACAGTCCTTGATAACCTTTGAGTACAGAGGCTAATGTCAACAATACTCTACAGAAGGGAGGGAATATTTAAGAGTATAGAATTTCTGTGAGACTAAGCAGTTGGGTGAAGAGAAACCACGAGTATATCCCAACTAACAGAAGGGAGGAGTGTGAGCTCCTATCGCACAGAGAAGTTGTATTGGAAAGAGGTGTAGGACAGCTGCGGAGAAAAGCTTCTATCAGACTTGTTTTCTTAAACACAAAACTTGATCAGCCTTGAGAATCAGGCTGCAGGAGTCTGTGCTTATGGGTGGTTTTTCTTGAAGCGTGTGTGTCTCTTTATGATGATATATATATTTGTTATCTGATGCTTTGGATAGAGACAAGTCACAGAGCTGCATTGTGCAACACTGTCAAAAATCAGTCAAGCAACTGTTGCACTAAATGTTATAATGAAAAAATGTTTTTATTCATAGTTACTGATGGTCTTTGTACCTTAGTAAAAGCCTCATGCTGTCAACTTTTTTTTTCCAGATCCTTCACAGAGTGAGGTTATGGGAGAACCACACATGATGATGGAGCACAAACTTGGTTTATTGTAACAAAATATACTCCACAAAAATGTTTTGTGTCTTTCTACTGCAGATCTAAATACATGATACTAAATTGACACTAACAGTGTTAAACAGTCCTACAGTTATCATTTGCCTTCCTTGGTGAAAAGGCACATTAAATGTTTAAAATCTGTAAATTGTTCTGTGCTTATCAATCAAGTAAATGTCCTGTAACTAAGTAGTTTAAATGTCTTTTCATACACTGCTCAGGACAATAGCTTCTTAAATATGGAAATGCTATATATGTACACAAGAAATCCAGAAATACCCATGCATTTGAAAACTGACTGCTGTAGGTTAATTTAATGGCTGTTCTCGTGAAAGAACTTAAGAGGGAAAGGAAGGTATTTTCCATTGAGTAACTCTTTGTTCATGCAAATTTCCATACACTTTTTAAACTATTGAATAAAAGTTTGCTATAAATGCTCTTGCGTTCCAAAATATATTTAATCATAAATCAAGCATCTCTTACCCATAACACAAACAGTGTTGCTACTGCAATATTTTTAAAGATCTTTAACATCTGCACTGCCAATGTAATCCTGCTACATACATTTTATTCCACTCTTGACAGCTGTTTATGAGGGAGCTATTACACTTTTATGTAGAATTGGAAATATTGCTGTAAGAATAGAGTTAAAGGTATAGATTTTTTCATATGTGTCCCTGAAAGGATATTCTGGTTTCTGAAAGTAGAAGCAAATTCCACTTGGAGTTTAAAGAGATGTTTTAAAATCTTATTTGTGAACATAGTCCAAAAGAGCACTCCTAGGTCTAGGTATTTTAGTAATAAGAAAGAGTGCAGTACCTAATAAAGCTGCTGTAGTAAGAACATGAAGATATGGTGGTGCAAATAAATAATTATTTGTATGTTTACAAAAATCAGGTCTTAATTAAGGGAGCATGAGAGATCTGTACTTAAATACACCTTTTAAAGGATCAGACAACTGAAAGGGGTTTTGTGTGCCCAAGTTTTCTTTTTTTATTAAATTCAGGTTGTAACAGTTATTTCTAATGTCATACATGTGCATATGTCATAGCTAAATACTGCAAGGCAGCTAGTATGTGGCATATTAGCAAAAAAATCTGCAGTTCAAAAAATGGTATCTTTTGGCATATGTGGGGAGCTTGAAACAATATTTCTAAGATAGGAACTCTTTATTCAGCAGGTTTTAATAACTTAGTTAAATTTCTAAGTGCACTTAGTGTTCCATTGTAGATAATTTTAGCAGAAATATTGCTATAAGCCTCTTTTCACAATTGCAAATATCTCTTGTGCTTTTCAGTGGGCTTATAGCTGCTACAAATTCCCTATCCATGTAGGACAAAGCTTTTAGCTTTTGTCCTGAAAAGTTTATAGTGCTTTTATGTGCAAAACATTGCAGCAAATTAGAAACATTAAGATGACAGGAGGAGACACTTCACTGATGGTTTTATTTGGTTTTATATTTAAACTTGTTTCATTCAAGAAGTGAAGCTTCTAAAATTGTCTTTCACTTGAGATTTGCAGAGATTAGAGGCTTGTGCTATGCAGTACAAGCAATTTGATTTGGGGTTTATTTTGCCTTAGGGAGGTTAAATATAGGACCAATGAATTGAACATGCAAGTGTAGATCTACTCCCATTTTTGTTGTCCATAGCTGTCCTGGTCCTGGTCCCTCTGTGGGCTGATAAGAAAGTCTGAGGGATTACCTTGCCAGGTCTGGGACAATTTAAGGTGTGGGCATGGATTTTCAGGAGGATTTTAAGGTCTGCCTTCATACCAGCGCTGTTCCAGAAAACAGGGAGCCATCCAATAGTTGTAGTTACTGGTACCTTATAGCTCCCCACTTCAGTGTATTGAGCTGGTTGGCCTTTTCTAGTGTTGGTTGAAAGGCAGATGCTACCGCATCTGAGCAAAACTGCATTAAGATGAGTAATTTAGTAGAGTTTCTCGTTAGTGCAGTGAAGAACCAAATGCAGATTAGGAGGTTGCATGCAATTTCTAGGTGGTTTAGTTCAACAATGAGTATACTTTGTAATAATCCTGGGTGAGATCAAGCCATGTTCAGAGGCAGGAAGGTGCCTTGTTCATTATGTCTGTAAGGAAGCTAATCTTAGGGTTTTAGCCAGGCTGGAAAGCAAATAGTATGTGTAAGAGGCCTATGCAAGAATTTATGCTGTTAATAAAAGTACTGGGAGTCAAACAGGACTGAGGCTAAGATCTTTTGAGATAAATAGGAAGGGTTATGCTCAGACAGTGCTGCAGGGGTTGGGCTGAGGACTGCGCTTTCTGCCCCAGCCCATTCTCCCCATTTTGGATAAGCCTAATTCTGTAAAGCAGATGCTGCACACAGCAACTCACAGAGGCATGCCACACGTTGGCAACAGAGCTGGAACAGACCCTGAAAGAGCACAGGGAGGAAAACACTTCTGGATCCACTGCTCTGGCAGGTGCAACAGAAGCCCCCACCCTGACTTCTTCCACATGGGATGCTGTCCCTGCTCTGCAATTCCCTACCTGGTACTGATCTTCTTGGTACTGATCTTCTCGGCAGCATCCTTTCCTCTCCCCAGGTGCAAGAGGGAGGCAAAAGCACATCCTCCTGCTCTGCTGTTTGTTATGACCACAAAAAATAGATGATACCATAGTGCTGCTCCTTCTGTTTACACAAACATTCTTCTACCAGTCATGCCATTGGCCATTTGTCAAAATTTTAAAAAGTGCAAGAACTACAAATACAACAGAGTTTAAAAAACCAAACTTCATTATGAATTTATATCAAAATAATTTGCATTATACACAAGTAAAACAATTATTATAATCTGAGATTTTGATTTATTAATCTGAAGCACATTAGTACTTGGGTTCCTCAGCTTGCACCATGCTGGGCATTTTACCACAGTTCATATCCTTTGACCTAAATTTACAGCCAGTTCTAAATGCTGCATCTACAAGAAATACTCTGCAAACAGCACATACATTGTACAGTAAAATCATACCATAACAAAGCCGTTCCTGAAGCGTACGTGCTTGTTCTCAATTGGACTGACACACTACCACTATGGAACTGGCTTGCTTTGTTGCTACCTTCTGAGTGCTAGCAGAAGTGTGCACTGAAGAAGAGGAAAATTTCTTCATTTGCTTTTTTTTTCCCAGGCAGTTTTCTGTGAAATAGTTAATTTCATACAGCCTTACATAACTGCATAATGAAGAGGCAAGGCAGACAATGTAATCTTTGTGCTGAAATCCTTTACATCAGTGTTTTCTTAATCTCTCCACAAGTACTCATTATATTTTGGACCCACTGATTATTGTAGAACTCAGCCTACAAGTTGGAAGTAACTTGGGCACCTCAAAGGAGGAGAGTTAAGCAGTTTTATTTTCTGGCTAGTGTCTGAACTACCGAGATCTAATGATCTTTAATTGCTAATATCAGCCTCAGTAGTTCAGGACAGAAGTGTAAGAGCTGGCTATAGCTGTTAGCTGTGTAAATACTTGTTCCCCCCTGCCCTGGATAAACAGTACTGTTTTCACCTGTGATGTCCTTTACGTGATTTGAACCCTCTTTCAAACCTTCTCAGTGAGCACAATACATAACTTGTAAGCAATGCAATTGTTCAATTGTAAAGGATCTACAATAGTATCATCACGATGCTGTACTACTATTTTTTGGTGGAGTACCACTGAAAAGTTCTGCAGGAGTACTCTGTTTGTGTGATGAGTATCAATGGCTGTAAGCAGGTCATCATTATACAGCACATGCTCTGTCTGTGAGCATTTTTATCCTATGCTGTGTGCAAGTCGGTTTCCACATCATAGTTGCTTTCCTAGAGGTTTCCTTCTCTAAATGTCAACCACTTTCCATTATATTGACTTCTCTGCCTAATCTGTTTTGGGGGACAAGTCACACACAACTTTCAGAGATCAGAACAGTATTGGCTGTCAAACTCTTCAAAAAATAAACATCTGGGAGTGGTCTGTAACATGGTATTGTATTTTCACTTCCACTGTGCACTCCAGAAGCTAATACTCAGAATAATTTCTACTTAAAGATCTCAAGGGAAAAGGTGAGGAGTCAATGCTGAAACTGATTCCTAGGTTTGGCAGTCACCAGTTTGCACTGTGGCCCTGGGCATGTCACTTGTCCTCTCTGTTAATTTCTCTCTGTGCAACAGGGAAGAGAGTATCTATTATGGAAGGATGTTCTTAATAGCATTTGTACGGTGCTTTGAAGAAGAGAAATGCCGTTCAAGTGCTCATATAATTATGCTGCATTTGTTGCAAGATGACTAGATACATGATTCAGTTTTGGTCACCTCATTTCAGGGTTGTTAAAAAAATAAAGATCCACTGATAAGAAATGCTATTACAGCCTTTCACTAAAAGAAACATTTAAACCAAGTACCAACTTAACTAAAAAATAAGAAATATCTCTGGGACAAAACCCAGAGATGCCTATATGCAGTCCCTAATATATGGAAAATTATAAATGTGCAATATGGCCTCTGCAAAATGTAGGCACAGGCTGAACTTCACACTCTGCAAGCCGGAAATTTCCTGAAAGTTCTGTGTGAAAATCCATTTTAAGAACTAAATCACAGGCAAGGTCCACACATCATACATTATACTTACACAAACACTCTCTGCTAGCTGCAGAGCAGTAAGTCTGCTTGCAGCAGATGTTAAGTGGTTGCTTTCTGAAAAAAACTACCTTTTTAGTAATTTTAGAGAGGTTTGGGGGCTTCATCATTAAGACAGGACTTTAAAGATGTACTCAGTCGACCACATCCTCAGCTGGCAGAAGCTCCAATGGCTTCAGCAGAATTGCCAGCACCCTCTGAGTTGATAACTTATCTCACTCAATTTAGAATGATACAAGATGTATCACAATCCACACCTGACATTCTTAAACTCGAGAAAAGGTAAGTGGAAAGAGTATCTCCCTACCTAATTTTTTTTCTTCATGCTGAAAGCAGCATTATAACCTCAATTGCCTATTTGCATAGTTAGGAGCTAGCTTCAGTCAAGTGCTGAAAGACTGGGTATAGAGTGCTACCAGTTTAGTGCTTATTGCTGCAGGGCCACTTGGAGATTGTGTTGTGTTATGTCTATGGTCTCTCTATGACACAATGGTCTCTGCACGTCAGATTAGAAATCTGCCACTGCACGTCAGATTAGAAATCCCAGATATGTGGATCCTTTGTTCAACTATCAGCGCTCTCTATGCTGGATACTTCTTCAGGTACCAGCAAAGCCAAGTCCTCCCCATTCCAGCTTGTGCACAGAAGCCAGCTGTAAGACAAAGGTAAGACAGGTATCTTTAGTTGAGATGTTACTTACAGCATTCTGATTCAGCACCAACAATTACACTGGATCGCTCTGTACAGCCATCTTCTGTGGCACAGAGCTGTTGATGTGTCTTAGTAAACAAAAGCAATGACACT